ATCTAGTTGTAAAAATAGTCCATACAATAATAAAAAGTACTTGACCGAAGGGGTCACCTTAATACCAAAAAAAAAAAAAAGATACAGATAAATCACAATTTAAAGATGGTGCCATGTATGATCTATTGATTCAAAGACTAGATGAACAGTATTTAACGCCTCCACAAAATAAAGAAGAATTACAAAAATTGAGAAAAGAACTAGGTGCTAAACTTTTACCATCAACTAATAATAATCAAGTTAAACAAGTTAAAAACTTTGATTAAGCATTCAATTTGTTAAAAGATGAATTTAATCTCTCTCAAAATATAACAATGAAAATATTTTCCAACTATATAATAAACTTTCCTGAAGGTGATATTGAACTACTAAAAGATGATGAATATTTTGATCCTGAAATAAAACAACTAGATAATAAAAATAAAAAAACTCTCAAGGATCTTCGGTACAAAATCATTGAAATATATCAAGATGAAGAACAGTTAGATAAAGATCAATTAAAAGAAAAAATATCCTCAATACATAATTTTATCAATGATTTATTTAAAAAAGACGTAAAAGAAAAGATGAAGAGAAAAAAAATAAAAAAAAAAGAAAAATTATAAAAGATCTTGACTATACACATGCTCAAATTCCAAAAGTACACCCCTTTTACTTATCAGGTGCATCTGAAAAATTTAATGCAAACATATATGTAGTGGCGATAATAAAAGTCTATAAAGAGATTGTTGAATCAATCGATGAAGAAATCAATCAACTATTTAATTTAGTAGTACATAATTTTTATAAATATCCAGACCTAAATTATTTCACCAAATACAATCAAAAAATTGAACGTGACAATGATTTTTTTATAAATAGCAATACAATCACTAAACAACATTTTCTAGACATCATTTTCAAAATATTAATCAAAAGAGAAGAAGATCCAAAATTAGACCAAAAAATTGAAAATATTTTTGATAATATTGAAATATAATGGATAAAGAAAAAACTCCAGAAAAAGAAACTGAAGAAAAAGAAACTGAAGAAGAAAAAGAAAAAGAAAAAGAAATCGAAAAAGAAGAAAAAATATCATTAATCGATATTATCAAAAATATAATTGGAGAAAATAAAAAACAAATCAATAAATTAGAAAATGATAATAAAGACCTAAAAGACGAGAATGAAGAACTCAAAAATCAAATCAAAAGACTTTTAGAAGATACCAAAAAATTACAAACAAATGATTTATTAAAAAATATCTTATTTGATTTATTAAAACATGTAACTTACACGACAATAACAATTTTATTTTTTATTTTTATATCTAATTATTACTTTGAAATAAATCTTCAATGTATAATTATTTAGTTATTTAATTATTTTTTATTTTTTGTTCTATTGTTTTTTTTTATTATTTAATAAAATATAAATAAAATTATATTTAAATAAATCGTATAATGAAATTTTCATATAAATATTTAATTTTTTTCTGTCGTTTATTTTTAACAATCATCATCTTTATTATGAGGTATTTTTTTTTTGTTTGTTTTGTTTTATTATCAATTTTTTCTAAAATTAAAATAATTTACAGTGAACTTGAACATTGTTTTTTTAAATATAATTAAAATAACGAAGCCTGTAAAAAACTAAATAGTTTTTTTTTTAAAAAAAAATTGTTTTTTTTTTTTTTATAAAAAAATAAATAGATTTAGACAATTTCAATATTACATTTACGTAAATCAAACAAATAACCGTTCTTAAATTTGATATTTGCGAATTTAACTTCATAAAGTAATTCAAGTAAATATTCTTCGGTAGTTTCTTCGATAATATTATTGGCCTTATCAAGAACAAATTTATGTCACTTAAGAAATTCTCAATGTTCTTTATCAAGAAGAGCATTTTGCTTATCGCTCAATTTGATTTGAATATATTCAGTTATGTGTCCTTCATTATCAGGAAACATTATCGGTCTTCAAAATTTTGTGTTTTTGTTCTCTCTAAACTATGTAAGATCTGTTTTCTTAATTGTACAAACTTCAAATTGAGACATTATCAAATAATACTTAAAGAACAATCTAATCGGTTTATTACTGATTAGATAATTAAATTCAAATAATGTTTGATTTGTTCTTACGTTGATACGAAATTCCCGAATCGATGATATGGCTCGATTCTAGTCTCGTTTCGAATCGTTGTAGTAAACGTCTCAAACAAAACTTATTCCCACCCGGTGATTTATTACTCTTGTATTAATTTAACTTCCATGTTGAATGGCCCACAAGAGGTGGGTTTTTATTTGCTTTTCTTTTTTTACATCAGAAACTTTGAAGATCGTCCTCGTACGCCATCTTGACTAAAGCTTGCAACGTTTACGAGATACGATCCTCAAAGTTTTTTTTATTATTTAGTTTATTAAAAATAAAAATTTATTAATAAATAATATTACATTCTCTTTTTTTTAGATTTATGAATATATGCTATTTTATTTTTTCTATTTTTAATTATCTCATTAATTCGTAAACAGATATCTTTAGGCGCTTTCAATTTAACTTTTTCTTTCCCTGTTCTTCAGCCATTCTTTAACCATTTATCGATTCTATTTTCAATAAACATCAGATATATATTTTTGTTCTTTGTTATGATTGTTAGTTTATCTTTGTCTTTATCTGCTTCTAAAATTTGTAATATACGAATAAATTCATCGATGTAAGATTCGTTTGCATTTTCTGAATTATCAACCAATTTTT